AAAAAAATCTGTTCCATTCTGTGGCTGCATTAATTTAGTTCTCAATGCAAGGAGAAAAATTTCACCATGAGAGATCAGAAAAAGTGTTTGCACCCCGTATTTCAGCAGATATTGGTCACATTTTTTTAAAATGCCAACATATTCCAGGACCGCTTCTTGAACCATTACAATATGTCTGCCTGCAACTCTGATCTGATTTGTTCAAACTTCCCATCATCCTGCTGCATACTTTCAAAAATGCATACAAGAAGATACGATTGCATCATTTGTACTGTTTTGGTTCCACCGTTCATTCCCACTGGATGGTAGCTTTGGAAACTTAGATGTGAAGAGGGGGAATTCTATGAAAGTGAGAATTCTGGGCACTTTGGCATGTGCCAGCTTGAATGCAGTTTCATCAGGAGGGGGAAAAGAACAGAGTGTTCCTCTCCCTTCTTCTGCTTCACTCTCTCCCCCTCCTTTCCTTCTAAATCTTCTTAGATTTTTGAGCCAATCTAGTGTGTTTTCGGCTGACATATTTGGTGCAGCTTCTGCAATGCATGAGCCGTCAGTTGCTCCTTGTTGAAGCTAGAGATAAAGGAAATGAAAACCTGCCTAAATGTCATCTTACCTTATTTCACTCCCTTCAAGGAGTGAAGATATCAGCTGAAAATTCCCCTGACCAACTCTGACATACTTATTGGTGCATCCCCTCCAACAGTCCTGATTTGGCTGGTTCAGTTCCAATTAATCCTCTATTGTTTCACTTTTTTGGTGTCTTTGAAAATGTCCCAATTTTCTCTCCTTCCACTTTCCTCCTTTGTTCTCAGCTTGTTATAATGTTTGCAAACTGAGTTCAAAGTGCACAAGTAGTTTCACTCCACAGGGTACAGAGGAAAAGAGAGACAAAGTCTTGACCTTCCCAGTAGGGTCAGGCAAAAGCAAATTGCTGCAGCTTCTCCTAACCCAGTGTTTCTCAACCTTCCTAATGCTGTGACCTCTTAATACAGTTCCTCATGCTGTGGTGAGCCCTAACCAAAACATTATTTTCATTGATACTTCATAACTGTCATTTTGTATTGTTATGAATGCTTCCTAATGCTGCAACAAATGCCTGACACACCCTAGTTTGAATACTAGTGGTGTTGGAGGGGATTGATTTTGGCATCTGGGAGTTGTAGTTGCTGGGATTTATAGTGCACCTACAATCAAAGAGCATTCTGAACTCCACTAATGATGGAATTGAACCAAACTTGGCACACAGAACTCCCATGACCAACAGAAAATACTGGAAGGGTTTGGGGGGCATTGACCTTGAGTTTTGGAGCTGAAGATCACTTATATCCACAGAGCACTGTGGACTGAAACAATTATAGATGTGGACCAAACTTGGAATGAATACTCAATATGCCCAAATGTGAACACTGGTGGAGTTTGGAGATACTAGACCTTGACATTTGGGAGTTGTAGTTGCTGGAATTTATAGTTCACCTACAATCAAACAGCATTCCAAATCCCACTAGCAATAGAATTGGGCCACCCTTCCCACACAGAACCCCCATGACCAACAGAAAGTACTGTGTTTTCTTATGTTCTTTGGTGACCCCTCTGACACTGCCTCATGACCCCCCCCCCCGGGGTCCTGACCCCCAGGTTGAGAAACGCTGTACTAACCTATGTGTTCTTCATTATTAATAACATCTCTGATGGTACTTATTCATGTGCATCCAGATTTTTATCTGTGATCGGATGGCCTAGAAACACGCACACATACACACAGACTATTATATGATGGAAAGAGGTAACATTTGGAGACCTCTAAGCTGAACTGTAGTTTCTGTTTTATGCAGTGTTTTTACAATAAAAAATCTCCCTGCAATTGCTTGCTGAAATAGTCATTAGGAGAAGTCTCTTGATACTTTCTAGTCTGCTCTACAATTTTTGGAAGATAGAACTAGTTGTTTACAGGAGAATGCAGTTGGCAAAACAACAATAATCACCACTTTTTCCATGCTGAATAACTGTCATTACTTCTTTCCATGAAGCTGACATTAAATATACATGTTCTTGCTATCAGGATAATTTATATGAAAAATTAATTAGGCAGAGCTTACTCATGATGAGTACTTTTTGGATGCAAAAGAGTGTTTTCATCCATATTCCCTCTGGTGTCTATATGTACTGCAAAACCATCCTCTTTCTCATCGGGATAAAAAGTTATGGGGTTCTTTTGCCTACTCCTTCCTGCTATCACCTCTGTTCCTTCCTTCTGTCTGTCCTTCTTTTCTTTCCTTAGTGTTGACAAGTGCAACGCATCAGTAAAAGAAGTTCTTAAATGTTTTATACGAGCAACATCACTACCAAAGTGATGTGCAAAATTGATTAATTAGCTTTCAGTTGGTTGGCACATGTGATGTGACAGCTGCATTCTCTCCAACCATCCCAAAAGATTCAAGTGGCCCAGAATTTGTTTTTAAAAAAGCAGATGCTAAGCTCAATGCTTAAATGCCAAAAGAAGTTAATAAGCCAATGGCATCTTTCCTGTTTTGAACTGTAGAGATTTGAAAACTACACCAATCAGGGAGTTATAAAATAATAGAAACAGAGTCAGAAAACCCCACAAGGACCATCCTGTCCAGTTCCCTACCATGTAGGAATGCACAGTAGAAGCACTCCTGACAGATGATCATTCTCTATTGAAAAATCTTCAAAGAAAGAGACTACATCACACTCCAGTCCAGTGTCAGACTGTTCTTCCCATCAGAAAGTTCTTCCAAAACTCTTTTCCTGTAGCTTGAAACCATTATTCTGTCTTTTAGTTGCTAGTGTAGCAGAAAACAAGCCTACTCTATCTTCAACATGACATCCTTTCAAATCTTAAAATATGGCAGTCATATCCTCTCTTAACCTTCTCTTCTCCAGGCTAAACATACCAAGTCCCTAAGCCTCTCATAAAAGAATATGACTTCCAGACAAATTCTTCAATGTTTTCTCTCAACAAGAATAGAACACAAAAGCAAAACTCTATACTCCCCTCAAAAACAGCTGTGCCAAGTTTCAGGTACTCACTCAGTAAGTGAGGCAACAACATGTTCAGTGCAAGAAAAAACTCTCCCAGTTGACCCAAGGAACTTAGAAAGGACACCAACTGTCATTTCGCTCTACTACTGTAGTGCAAGAAAACAAAGATAAAACATTCCTGAAAGATGGTTATCCAACCATCATTTAAAAAAAAAAAGCAACCCTCCAATGAAATAAAGTCTCATCACCCTCCAAGGCAATCCATTCTACTGCCAAAGTTTTCTTGCCATTAGGAAGTTCTGTCTAATGTCTAGCTGGAATATTTTGTCTTTCATTTTGAATTCATTGGTTCATTAGTCCTCAACCGTTCAGGTCCTGCTTATCTTCATGACCATCTCTCTCTCTATGAACCACCACGAGTGCTAAGATCTTCCATGGAGACCCTTCTCTTGCTCCCACCTCCATCACAAGCATGGTTGGTGGGGATGAGGGAGAGGGCCTTCTTGGTGGTGGACCCCTAGTTCTGGAACTCTCTCCCCAGGGAGATTAAATTAGCCCCAACCATGTCCGCCTTTCAGAAAGATCTGAAGACTTGGATGTTCAAATGTGCCTTTGAATAATGGTTCAACTACTGATCAAGCTTGCCTAGCCCTCATCTTTTGGTAGGATCTCCAGCATTTTATTCCCAGCCCCCAGCCTTACAGTTTATGTTGCGCTATCCTGCCCTGGTCTCAAATCTGCACATGCCCACTTTTCCTGGCCATTCGTAGTATGTTGCTTGGTTATGTTTTCTGATGTATTAGTTTTTCTGGCTTTATTGTTTAATATAGTTGGTTTTTATATGTTTTTAATTGAGTTACTTTGCTATCTTGTTTATATTGAGTCGCCAAAGGCTGAGAAAGGCGGTATACAAATACAGTAAATAAATAAATATTGGGCTTCGTCCCCATGTAAGCCACCCCGAGTCTCTTCAGGGAGATGGAGGCGGAATATAAAAATAAAGTTATGTCCTAGTCTCTGGAGCAACATACAACAAACTTGCTCCATCTTCTAGGTGACATCCCTTCAAATATTTATCACTTTACCTCTCACTCTTCTTCTCAAAGCTATTCTCCTCCCTAAGCTATTCCTGATAAGGTTTGGTTCCCAGAACTTTTACTCATTACAGCTTGTCAATAACCTTCTTGAACTGCAGTACCAAGAATGGGACACTGCAGTCCAAGTGAGGTTCTGATCAAAGCTAAATTGACTGTACAAAGACATTTATGTGTATTTATGTGTATTAATTATCTTGACGGTATCCATGACTCACATGTATGAGTGGTATTTCACAAGCATTTATCCCATGGGAAGAAACGAAATAACATTACTGTTGGGATTTCATGGCCATGCAAGGATTTCAACCCTGTTCACCAGAGTCAAAATCCAATGCCCAAACCACTACACCACACTAGCTCATTGTGTAAATGGAGATTATTACTGTTGTTTTCCTGTTTTACAAATGAGAAATAGATCACAAAACCATAGAATCATGGCCCATCTAGCTCATGCCTAACCTAATCCCAAATAGGTAGATGTCCAAGCTGTTTTTAAAGATGTCCAGAGAAGGAGACCCTGCCACCACTCTTGACAATTGGTTTCAATGCTGAATTGCTCTTACGGTTAAGATTTTCCTTCTAATGTTTAATCAAAACCTACTCTCTTGTAACTTAAAACCATTGGTTCTGGTCCTGCTTTAGGGGAAAACAGAGAAAAGGCCTTCTCCCTCTTCTCTGTGACAACCCTTCAGGTATTCAAAGTGGAGACTGGAACATTGGCTGATTGTTTTCCCCTCCCTTATCCATGGCTAAGGAATGACTGGAATCCAGTTCATCCATTTTCAAATTACCTGGTCTCCAGCCAATAACATGTTCTAGTGATCAAATGATCTGATGAACCTAGAAGATCACCTCTTTGGGAACCCCGATTGCTAATATTTTTGTGGTTTGTGTTTTGCTCAGGAAACTATGGTGAAAGTGGAATGGAAGCCTTCAAAGACATGTCAGCCAAGGAAGGGATCTGCATTGCCCATTCCTACAAGATCTATAGCAATGCAGGAGAACAGAGCTTTGACAAACTGTTGGAGAAGCTAAGAAGCCATTTACCCAAGGCAAGAGTTGTGGCGTGCTTCTGTGAGGGCATGACTGTGCGAGGACTGCTTATGGCTATGAGGCGCTTGGGACTGGCTGGAGAATTCTTGCTCCTGGGCAGGTGAGTACACTTTCAGATCTTTGGATCCTTTTCCATATTGCCAGTAAAGAAATATATGCATACAGATTGGTATCTGTTGCTAATCAGATTTGGACTGTCTTCTGACTAAAGAAAGTTTGCTGGAATTACTATATGATATTTAATAAAATGTCCATATATTGGTGAAAAGTAGTAATAGATACTATTTTCTCCTTTGAACATTACCTAGAAATGGTAGCAAGACATTAAGAGAAAAGACACGCCTCTTATCTGATGAAACATAGACAGTAATCTGTTGTTTGTTTCAATGAGGAGAAGGAAGATTTTCCTTCACTCTGCCAACTCCCACATGTATGTCTGATGGGAACACAGGAGAGGATCTACTTTGTGGTTGCCTCCCGGCTTTGAAATTTTCTCCTCAGAGAAGTTAGATATGCACTTCTGTAACCTCTTTCCATTACACAGGTGAAGTCTTTTCTATGTCAGCCAACCTTTGGCAAATGATTGTTTAAGTGGGACAGACCTTGTACAATGTGCTGGATTTTCAATTGATTATTTTTGTTCTGCTGTTGTGTTTTTTATGGTTTTGTTTTTAACTAGTTTTTTCATGTTTTTAACTAGTTTTTCATCATTCAATCATTTTTTAACTTTTGTATTTTGTCAGTTTTAACTGTGTGTTTGTAACCCATCTTGAGTCCTCACCTGGGGAAAAGGGAAGAGATACAAATACGTCTCATAATTATTCCATAATTTAATGAGGCCTTTGTTGAGTAATACCAGATGAAAACCCCTACCTGAAATGAAAGAGAACAAAATTGTTTTGGATTTTGGAATATTTGCATATATGTAATGAGATATCTTGAAGTCTTAACATATAATTCATTTATGTTTCATATACTCACATACTCTAAAAGTAATTTTATACACAAATATTTTTTAAATAATTTTGTACTTGAAGTTGTGTACATTGAAACATCCACATTCAAAAGTATTTATTGCTTCCTCAGCCACCCATGTAGACAATTTCAGATTTTGGAGGATTTCAAATTTCCTCTTATCAACCTGCATAAGGCAGTACTAGTTGGCTGGTATCATGACTTTATCAACACAGATGCCCCAAATAATTCAATTCAATACTTTCCTTATAAAGCAGACCAATGCCTTTTCTGAAACCTTTTAGCTACTTTTTATGTTCCAAAGACTAAAGCTTCAACTACAGGAATGTTTTTGGCTCTATTTCCAGGGTAGGTCTACCAGCTTTTCTGTTTCTGATGAGAATCAGTCATCTTCTCCCCCTCATTCATTTGAGGAGGTCTCCATCAGGGAAAACATGGCAGCTTCCAACCTGACATGTACATGCAATAGGATCTTCCATAAAACACATTGGCCTGTCTTGTGGAAGTCTATGGAATTCTCATAAACATATGTCTAATATGCCATATTTCTGCCCCGTTTTTTTTAAAGTGCCCCTGTCTTTCACCTCTCATACCTCTGAATGATGCTATGTGAGATGTGGAGGAATCAATGGTAGCACCGATGTTAATGTAGTTTCTGCTTCTTGTTGTCATTGGTAGGAGGGCCAAATAAGGCAAAAGAAACACACAAAACCCAGCTACATTTCCACCAGCTAGGACTAGGCTGAACAATTATCACCCAAATAGAAATGGAAGGACAATGGTGGCTCAGGAAATTGTATTTGTAGAGGAGAAAGGATGGAATTGTACTACTATTAAGATTAACAGTGACCCCACACAGAACCTGTCTATATTGCTTTTTAGGACAAATCTGACACTCCTTCAGACAGCATGGCTAAGGGATTTTAGGAGTTGTAATATGAAAGTAAATTTTCCATGCTCCCACTTGACTGCTGAGCAATGTTTGTAGGACTTTTCCTCCCCTGAATGAGTGACGATGGTGCCTATTATTTCTCTGGCCACAAATCTTCAAATTAGAAGAAAATAAGTTTCACTTAAACATTAAGAATAACATTTTTTAACTGTAAGAGCAGTTCCCAAACTTTGGTCATCCAGTGGTTTTGGACTTCAGCTCTCAGAAGTACCATCCAGCTTGTCCAGTGGTCAGGGATTTTTGGAGTTGACGTTCAAAACACCCGGAGGACCAAAATTTGGGAACCACTGCTGCAAGGTCTATCCAGTAGTAGAGTTGACTGCCTATAAGGTGGTTCCTTCTCCATCTTTGGAGATCTTTAGGCAGAGGTTGGATGGGCAGCTTTGAGCATTATGGTAAGTCTGCGTTCCTGAATGGCAGAGGGTTGGGCTAGATGACACTTCAAGCTCTACAAATGTCAAGAGGCCATTTGCTCATCCCTTCAGTTTCCATTATGCACTCTTATACTCATCTGTGGTAAGAGATGGAACTACTCCAAGTTTTGTATTCTTTGGGAAAGCTAATGGACTCTTTCTACCTTCACTGAACAGATCCACATGAGATCATCAGCTTTGCAGAAATTGTAATAGAGTGCAAGGCTAACTACAGAGGCTGGGAATGTTTCCAGCCTGTTTACAATTGCAGCTTCCAGCAGAATGGATGATTCTTCTCCCTTTCTCTCCATCGGAGAACCAGGGCTCCAAGTCAACAAGAAACAGTGCAGTAGAATACCCCTGTCTCTTCTACAAGAAGAGACTAGTTTGAACCTTCCTATTCTCATGGTTCTTTTTATCTGGTGTGTGTGTGCACATGTATGTGTATGTGTCTTGTACCTTTATTCTCATAAGTTTGTTTACAATGCTTTTAAGCTGTTTTTAATAGGATTTTTTGTTGTTCTTGTGGTTCTTACTGTCATTTGACTAAATTTCAGCCATAAAATGACTGCTAGAAGATATTATCAACTGCTTTGACTGTACAATTATATTACCTAATAAACAGGTCTTGATGTGGCTAAACACACCTTGGTTCGTGTTTCAGAGTGCCGTTCATGCAGAATTCACCTTAAAATGTGACTGGCTCTGATTAACCATCGGGAAGCAGATTCCTGGAACAATTTTTGCTATCTTCTGAACATATTGCTGAAGGATTCAGGGGCTACTAATTGAGTTAAACTAAATGAATTTTGCTTCTTGTTAGCAAGGCACATTACACTGTTATGGATTCCAGACCTCATTAGTCACTGAGATATTTCTCATTTCATTACCTGTTTTAAGACTAGCCTCTAAAAAAGAATGTCCAAATCTTTATAAAATGTTTAATATATAACCATTAATTTTTGTTTGTATCTTTATGTTCCAAGCAGATTTATTTTAGAGCAGAGATTAATTTTATGAGAAGATTTTTCCGCAATATGAGAGTTTTTGAGTTTCTGGTTTATATATGAAATAGTGAACCTGATTGGGTTCAATTCACTTGAAATGAGGCACAGAAAGCATTTTATGGATATCCTGCATTCCCAAAGAGATAAAGAAATGGGTTCAAAAGCAAATCAAATCAATCAAATCTGAGCTGCCCCTAGAGGTCAAAATGACTGAATTGAGACTGTTGCACTTTGGAGATACCATGAAACAGCATGGCTGACAGGGAAACACAATAATGTTTAGTAAAGTTGAAGACAGTAGCAGAAAAGAATAACTGGCTAACTGCATGATAAGAAGACAGACTCATTGAACATCAACACTGTAGAATTACTCCAATTTGACATCATTTTAACTGCGATGATTCATTGTTATAGCATCATGGAGTTGTAGTTTTTCAAGGTCTATAGACTTCTCTGCCAAATTATGCTGGTTTCCATAATGATGATGACGGTGATCTTGTTTGCTGTGTACTAATCTTGTTGTGTATGAAATAATAATAATAATAATAATAATAATAATAATAATAATAATAATAATAATATACTTTATTTATATTCCACTTTATTTCTCTGAGGGGACTCAGAGCGAATTATAGAGAATACACACACACACACACACACACACAATATACCATATATACTTGAGTATAAGCCAACCCGAATATAAGCCGAGGCACCTAATTTTACCACAAAAACTGCAAAAAAGTATTGACTCAAGTATAAGCCAAAGGTGAGAAATTTAGCTTGTACTGGTAATCATCAGTAGGTTAAATGTTTTTGAGTGTTTACATACAAATGTAATGTAAGATAAGACTGCCCAACTCTGATCAAACCATTATTCTAACCTCCTTCAATGTAAATGTGCTTACCTATTACCAATAATGATAGAGTCAAATAATAAATGCAATAAAATATAATAAAAATAATAATAGAGTAAATAATGGAAATTTGATAATATTGGTAATAATAAAGTAATAAATGTAATAATAATAATAATAATAATAATAGAGTAAAATAATAAATGTAATAAAATAATAATAGAGTAAAATAATATAAATGTAATCATAATAATAGGGTAAAATAATAAATGTAATAAAATAATACTAATAACAGAGTAAAATAATAACTAACCTTGACTCGAGTATAAGCCAAGGGGAACTTTATCAGCCTAAAAAAAGTGGCTGAAAAACTAGGCTTATACTCGAGTATATACAGTGTGTGTGTGTGTGTGTGTGTGTGTGTGTGTGTGTGTGTATGTCGTTATACAATTAACAATGACAGTACATAAAGAGAGGCAAGGCTTCCCTCTTTTCATCTGTGGCATCTGGAGCCTGTGCTCAACTTCACCATGGAGAGGTGCTGTTGTTCCATCTTTCCATGCTGAGGAACCTTGTTGTCTATGAATGCCTTCCTGATCAAATTGGTGGCATGTCTTCAGGGGCACCTTTTACCTCTCTGCCAAATCAGTACCTATTTATCTACTCACATTGCTGTTTTCGAACTGTTAGTTAAGCAGAAGCTAGGGCTGATGGGGGGAGCTCACCTTGACCCATGGCTTGAATGAGTCACCCTTGGGGCTGAGAATTGCGGTATATAAGAGCAGTAAATAAATAAATAATAAATAAACCTTCCAGGCAGCAAGATTTTCTGTAGTTGGCTGTTTAACCCAATGTGCTAACCACGGCCCCTTGATTCCATAACATTCAGTCATAGC